TGCAGAGTGAGAAATAAAATTTAGGTTTAACTAATAACCTCTCTAGTTATCAATATTTTAGAATACATTTTTCAAATTCAAAAACATTTTTGCTGTAGTTTCTAAACAACATTGAGAGGGGCCTTCTGAGGTGCCTGCATTGTTCTGTTTCACGGTCTTGGCTGGTGATTACGTGGAATAGCTTAGTTTGTAAATTCACTGAGATGTTCACTTACCACTTGTGAGCTTTTCTGTATATGAGGTCTGGATGGAAAAAGCCCAGCTATTGTTAATATAATGAGAACAGTTTGTGCGACTTCTATGTGACCGGGCTGCCAAGGAGGAGTGGACTGGAATGAGCATGTATGAATAATGAGGACTCACTGAACTAGTCAGTGAGGGCAGTAGATGCTGTTGAGTAAGCATGTGTAATGTGTGGCCGTTGCATTCAAAATGACCGAGCAAGTAGAGCAAGGAATCTGCATCAAATTTTGTGTAAAGCTTGAACATCCCTCTGCAGAAACTATTCGGAAGATTAAGAAGGCTATAGCTATGGGCAACTGGTGATGGGAGCTTCATCACAACAATGTGACCGCTCACGCATCACGTCTTCTGCAGAGATTTTTGGTGAAACACCAAGTCACCCAGGTAACTCTGCCCCCTACCAGCCCAGATTTGGTGCCCTGCAACTTCTGCCTTGTCCAAAAACTACAATTACCTTTGAAAGGGAAGAGATTTCAGACTGTTGATGAGATTCAGGAAAATACAACAGGGGCAGCTAACAGTGGCTGGAAGAACTGTGTGAGGTCCCAAGGTGCTTACTTTGAAAAGGACTGGGGCATCATTGTCCTATGTACAATGTTTCTTGTACCTTGTATCTTCTTCAATAAATGTCTCTATTTTTCATATTACCTGGCTGGATACCTTCTAGGCAGACCTCATATATTATATGCAATAAAGAGTTTACCTAAAAAATGTAATTCATGTTGAATACCCCAAATGTGAAAGACAGATAAGCACAAAGTAGATGGGTTTTGGTGGTTCCATACAAACTTTAGGATTGTTTTTTCCTGTTGCTGTGAAAAATGTCATTGGAGTTTTGATAGGGATTGCATTGAATTTGTAGATTGCTTTGGTAATGTAGGCATTTTAACAATATTAATTCTTCCAACCCATGAGCATGAAATATTTTTCCATTTATTTGCATCTTCTTCCATTTCTTTCCTTAATGTCTTGTTGCTTTCAGTATACATATTGCTCACCTCAGTTAAATTTATCCCTGGGTATTTTATGGTTTTTGATGCAATTATAAATGGGACTGTTCTCTTACTTTCTTTTTTTGACAGCTCATTATTAGTGTATATAAGTGTAACTGATTTTTGTTATTGATTTGTATCCTGTAACATTACTTGATTAGTTCTCAGGTTTTTGATGTCGTGCCTAGGGTTTTCTATGTATGCTATGTGTTATCTGTAAATAGTGAATTTTACTTCTTTCTTTCCAATTTGGATGACTTTTAATTCTTTTTCTTGCCTAATTGCTCTGGCTAGGAATGCCAATACTATATTGAATAAATGTGGTGACAGTGGGCATCCTTGTCTTGTCCCGAATCTTAGAGAAAAAGCTTTCAGCTTTTCACTATTAAGTAGGATGTTAATTGAGGGCTTGTCATATATGGACTTTATTATATTATGTTCCCTTTATACCTGCTTTGTTATCATAATTGGATGTCGAATTTTGTCAAATGCGTCTTCTGCATCTATTGAGATGATCATGATTTTCATGCATTTTGTTAATGTGGTGTATCACACTAACTAATATATGGATGTTAAGCCAGCGTTGCATCCCTGAATAAAACACACTTGAACATAGTGTTTGATCCTTTTAATGTATTAATTTGCTTTGCTAATATTTTGTTGAGGATTTTTGCATTTATTTTTATCAGGAATACTGGCCTCTTAATATTTTCTTGTATCCTTATCTAGTGTTGGCATCGGGGTATACCACAATGGCCCCATAAAAATGAGCGTGAAAGAGTTCCCTCTTCTATTTTTTGGAAGATTTTGAGAAGGATTAGTATTAATTTTTCATTGAAAGTTTGATAGAATTTACCAGTGAAGCCATCTAGTCCTGGACTTTTCTTTGTTGAGAGGTCTCTGATTACTGAATCAACCCTTTACTAGTACTCAGTCTGTTCAGAGAGTCTTTTATTTCTTCATGATTCAGTCTTAGTAGGCTTTATGTTTCCAGAAATGTATCCATTTTCTTGATTGAACAATTTGACCTGTAATCATTAATAGCAGTCTCTTATGAGACTGCTCTTATGATCCTTTGTATGTCTGTGGTAACAGTTGTAATATCTCCTCTTTCATTTCTGATTTTATTTGAGTTCTTTCTTTTCTGTTTGGTGAGTCTAGCTAAAGGACTTATGGGTTCTTAAACAGCTACCACTAAATTTTATTATGTTTAATAGTGTTATGAATATTTAAATGAATCATCAGACATGTCTTCTCTTAGAGAAATAATAGTTTTTAACATTCAAAGCCTCCAAGGCTACTTAAATTCTTCAAATAAAGAACAACACCATTGTCGCATTATTATCCTCTTGGAACTCTTGTAGGTCTGATAAGAGAGGAGGCAACGTTAACGGAAAGGCCAGTGAACTGGCAGGCAGGAATAATGGTTCCTACTTTTGCCTGTGCCACTGAATCAAAGCCTCATTGTCGACAAGTCTCAACTTCTTTGAACTTCAGTTTCTTGAGCTGTAAAATGAGAGTATCGGGCAGTCTCTCAAAGGACACTTACAGCCAAAATAATTATGACACTGGGGATATGACCAAATATCAAACTTTTATTGGCTCAGGCTGGGTGGGTCAGTTGGTTGGAGCACCACCTCATGCATTAAAAGGTTAAGGTTCTGATCCCTGGTGGGGTCGCAATAGGAGGCAATCAATTGATGTGTCTCTTTCACTCTGATATTTCTCTCTCGCTCTGCCCTCCCTTCCTTTCTCTCTAAAATCAATATCCTTAGGTGAGAATTAAAAAAAAAATGATAATAAGGAATGAATTAATAAAACAGAAATTTGAAAGAATATATGCACCCCTATGTTCACTGCAGCATTTATACAGAGGTCAAGATCTGGAAACAATCCAAGTGCCCATCAGTAGACAAGTGGATCAAAAATGGAATAGTATGCAGCTGTAAAAAAGAAGGAAATCTAATCTTTTGAGACAGCAAGAATGAACCGGAAGATTATTATGCTAAGTGAAATAAGCCAGTCAGAGAAAGACAAAGACCATATGATCTCACTTACATGTGGAATCTAAAAAACAAAATAGAAACAGAGGTATGCATACGTGGACAGACTGACAGGTGTCAGTGGAAAAAGGGCAGGGGACTGGATCAAAGGAGATGAAGGCACTAGCCAAAAGACATATATACATAGCACACAGACAGAGACAACAGTGTGGTGACAGCCAGAGGAAAAGGGGAATGGGGACTAGGTGGAGGTGGGCAAATGGGGGTGGGGGCTGTGGGGCATGGGCACAGTATGCACTGTATAGACTATGTTTTATTGAGCTGTATACTTGAAACCTGCATGGTTTTGCAAACCAACATCGTCCCAATAAATTGAGTTAATAAAAAAATAAGTGGGAGAGTAGAGCTTCCCATCTTTATTGGCAGACGAAGCAGATACAATGTGTTTCCTGTCTTTCCCACAAGTAGCTATGGGAAGGGAGGGGGGGCGGGACTGGGACAGGATGTCCTTCCCTGACATGTCACTCACCAGCCTATATCTTTAAATTTTTTAATGGCCATCAGATCTGACATCCCAGGAGTCCATCCCATAAAACAAAAGAATTAGAAATAACTTGTTATGAAGACTAAATAAGTGCTTGATTTCATTTTCAATTCTTAAATTTCTTTCAAGTGTGTTCTTTTCCTTATAGTTGTAGTCTGAACTTATAGTGACAATTTCAGGGACTTCGGAGAAGGATAACATTTACAGAGAAACAGCTCAAAGAAACTTTGGTAGCCTAATACTGTTGCCAGTTTGCAAGCGAACCGTGGAGAAACTGGGAACTGGACAAATGAAACGGGAGAAGTGCCTGGAGACCTAAGACAGCTCTAGGGCGCAGAAAGGGACTTTGTTCTCTCTTTAAGGCACTGTAAGATTGATTATATACTTGCCAACTTCCCTTTGATGACAGGAAATGTCATTTATCTTTATATCCCTAGCGACAGATACAACCAACAATAAAATATTTGTTGAGTAGAACTGAGTGAAAACTGCGCGGGAATAAGGTAGGTAAAAGGATACCGAAGTAACATAGCCTCGGATATATGAAACTTAAAAAGATTTACTGCACGATTAACTGCAAAGGAAAAGCGACTTCAGCGGAGCACCTTTTCAGATGAGGGGTCATCAAACTAGAATAGGAGAGATGATCCGAGTTCCTGTTAAGTGAAAATCAATGCGGCAACAGGTTTGAATTCAGCAGTGAAAAAGGGAGAAGCGACAGCGACGTGCAGATTGATTTGCATTTTTTCAGATGAGATGTCAACACCCGAAGGCAAAGGTCTGAGTCCCGGAGCCCGGCCGGCGAAGCTCGCTTTGGGCTGGTTTCTTAACAGAACTACCAGGAAGCCCTAAAAGACGTACAGCTCAGGCTGGTATCTTGGCCTAATAACTTCCGTGTGTGGGGGTGTGCAAGAGGGAGCGCCGCCCGCGGACTTCCGCGTGCGGGAGACCTCGGATCTCCGCCCGGCTGCGCCACGCCCAGTCCTCGAGAAAAAGCGCGCTCCACGCCGGGGCCACCCCCACCTCCGCCGGACGGCCGGGCCGGGGGCGGGGCCGCGGGCTCGTCGCTGCCGTTCGCAGGCCCGCGGGCCGCTTGGCCACGCTCGCCGTCGCCACGCCTCACGACTACATTTCCCAGCAAGCCCCGGGCCACCCGCGCGCCGCAGTTGACCCATTTCCCGGCCCGTCCCGGGCTCGGCCGGCCCCCGCGCCGAGGCGGCTGCTCCCTGCTGACTGGGGTGTGGGCGGGGAGCGGCGGAGGGAGGAGGAGGCGCTGCTGGCCGCCGCCGTTGCCTCAGCTGCTGGGCGCTGGGCAGCTCACCGGGTTTCTGCGGCCGCCATGGACGAGCAGGCGGGTCCCGGCGTCTTCTTCAGCAACAACCACCCGGGCGCTGGCGGTGCCAAGGGTCTCGGGCCTCTGGCGGAGACGGCCGGCGACGGGGCGGCTGCGGCGGGGGCGGCCAGAGCCCAGTACAGCCTCCCGGGGATCCTGCACTTCCTGCAGCACGAGTGGGCCCGCTTCGAGGTGGAGAGAGCCCAGTGGGAGGTGGAGCGGGCGGAGCTGCAGGTAAAGACCCTCCCGGCCAGGCCCTCTTCATCCCGCCTCTCCGCTCCCCTTCGCCCCGCCCCGGACCCTTCCCCCTCCCCCTTCGGTCCCCGCTGGTCCCCTCCCCTTTGCTCCCACCCGTCCCACCCGGGACTGTCCCCTTCCTCCCTTCACCTGTGCCTTCGGCTGCCCCCACTTCCTTGACCCGGGTTCCCACTGCCGCCCTGATGCGTTGTTTACCCTCCCCGCTCCTTTTCGGTTTTGCGCCTTCTTTCTCTGAACTCTGTCTGCGTTCAGCTCTCTCGGCAGCCCGCATTTCGGGTCTCCCCGTTCTGGGTACTGATGGGGCTAACCGTGGCTTTGAAAGACGCGGAGCAAATCCTCCATCCCCAGTCCGCGGTCTAGAGACGTTCCCGCAGCAGGTATCGGCAGTTGGCTTCTCTGAGAGGAAGGTGATCAAAGAGACAACAGAAGTTGTGTCTGTGAGGCCTGGACTCCGGGCGAGAAGCTGACGTTGGGGGAAAGTGTTACTAGGAATATCAGCTCTCTTTTTAAATATGTAAATGTTTCTTCTCTTCTTCCCACACTCCCTCACCCCCTCCCGCGTCTCCTTTAGGTATTTCAGGTTCATGGATTTTCCAGGAGGGACCTAGATGATCAGAGTGAGGTGCTAATTCAGAGATGGTTTCCTGTTGTCAGAATCTAAAACTTGTCGAGGATTAATTTTATGTTCAGTGTTTTTGTGAAATTGACTTTTACTTTAAAAGGAAATAAAGGGGGCTTGAAAGTTGGTTACGTTTCCTGCATAACGTGCAAGGTAAAGTGTGTCCAGGGAGGAGCTATAGTGGGCTCCTCTTACAAGGATAAAGGGTGGCCAGCACTTAAACAGGCCACCATTCTGAGTTGGTAGGTAGGTGTCCCTGGCTGTTCTGCAAACTTCCAAGCCATACAGCAGTTTCACAGGGGCCGTAAAGAACTGCGAGTGGCTGTGCCTTTCTGCTTTGCTAGCTAATCCTGGATGCGTATGAAATCTGAGTATGGTTTTGGTTGGTGACACACATGAAGTTAAAATGCTAACCAGCCTGTCACTTTTTTTGGTAACATGTATTTTCTTTGGCACTTAAGGAAAAGAAAAGGAGAAGTCTGTTACATAGAATCTGTGCTGGAACAGGCTGCTTTTGGTGTAGTGCAAGTGGCAGTGGAAGGAGCGGGGAGACAGGGTTATGGTGTGAGCTGGGCTTGCTGCTAGCTGTGTGACCTTGAGGACATCCTCTACCCTCTCTGATCTTCAGTTTCATTACTTATTCATTCAGCACATTTATTCAGTGCCAGGCGTGTGCCTCCAGGCCCTGGGATTAGCAAAACTGACAAAGCCTCTGCCCTGGTAGGGTTTACGGTTTAGTCAGGTAATCAGCAAATGCAGCTGTGTAATATACTGACCCATAGTGCCAACTGCTATGAGAAGAGTTAAATCAGGGTACAGGATGGAGTGTGGCAGGGCAGCACTTTAGACGGGGTGGTCAGGGAAGGCCTCTGGGAGGAGTTGAATGAAGTGAGGGAGTGACTTACCCTTTCTAAGATTCCTCCTTATTCTTTGTATTTCTATTCTTTGGCGGCTTTTTCATTCCTACTGTTGTGCTACTTTACTATCTAGTCTTCTGATATTTGTAATGTTTCTTATAATGAATCTGACCATGTCTGTATAGTAACCAGCAGGCTTAAATGCTTCATTCACATTTACTAGTAATTCACCTTTATTAGCAGTGAATTCCATAAATGAGCTTGTGGATTTCAGACTTCAAGAAAGTGTTAAAGGCAGGCTTTAACTTTAATGTTGTACAGTCATAGAGAATGATTTTTATGTGTAATCACTTAAATTTTAATTTCTTTTCCAGTTTAGGGAATGTAAGATAAGTCACAATAATTTGGTCAAAAACAAACAAGAAAACAACTTAGTCTCCTACCTGTGAAGGTTTGGGAATTTCCAACCCATCTCACCCCACTGTGTTTAAATTTTTTAACTTACCTGTAACTGTAGACACTCTTCAATTTTATATGCGCACACAAACAACATCCTGGGTTATTTATGGCAAATGTTTAAGGTAGGTTTCCCATTGGTGCTGAGTATATTAAGGACACTATATTTTTATAGTATCTTCTGGTTTGTGCTCAAATTACATTAAGCATCCATGGAGAAACTTTAAAAAAATGTGTCATATTTTCCAAACAGAGCAAGTATTATGAATTTTGGGGGGAGAGAGTTTGCAAGAACCTGAGGTTTTTTGACCCCCTTATTAGTATTATTGAAATGTAGCTCATATCGTGCCGTGGCTGATTGGCTCAGTGGATTGAGCGCCGGCCTGAAAACCAAAGGGTTGCCGGTTCAATTCCCAGTCAGGGCACATGCCTGGGTTGTGGGCCAGGTCCCCAGTTGGGGGTGCGCGAGAGGCAACCACACGCTGATGTTTCTCTCCCTTTCTTTCTCCCTCCCTCCCTTCCCCTCTGTCTAAAAATAAGTAAATAAAATCTTTAAATCTATATATATCTTATGTATTTACATCAACATCATTAAATTTGAAAATATCCTTTTATTTTTTTTACCGTTAGAATTTTCTAAGAAAAACAAGAGGAGTTGAATGAATGATGATGATACTTGGTGTCTTCCTTTTAATTTTTAAATAATCTCTTCGGAAGTCATTAACACCAAGTTAACAAAAGTACCTTTAAGATTAAGTCCAATTTTTCCCTTCAGGAACCTGTCAGTCTTGCTCTTTCACATTGGCAGGGCAGAATTGTGAAAGCCAATCCAAGCACACATCTATCTACCTGGCCTGCTTTCACCACTTCCTCCTTCAGATCTGAAGAGTAAGAACTGGTCACATGGTAAAAACTTATTTGTCACTTGTTCCCTCTTGCCCATTGTGATATATATTACTCTTTTTTTACTTTTAGTAATCCCCCTCACCACCACCATGCAGATGAGAATGGGAAAAGAATGGTCAAAATTATTACCGAGCTTTGTATTTATAAAAGGAATTGGAAATGCGATACATAGCATTTTAAAGAATTTTGTGTGATACACATTGGGCTAGATTACCTCAAAGAAATATGCAGTCTAATAACAGTGATAGAACAAACAAAATGCAGAAGAATCAGTGTTTATCATTTTGGGGGTTTAAATTTTTTTAGAAAAGCACAAGAGCTTAGCAGTGAGCGGGGAGAATAGCAGGAAGAAAGAACTTCATGAGGTAATGAGAATGTAAGGCTCAGTATTTGAAAATTACTGACTTATGGGAAAGCAAGCACGTAAATAAAAAATAAAAGTCATTGCTCTAGATTTTGGGGTGTGTGTGTGTGTGTGTGTGTGTGTGTGTGTGTGTGTCTGTTGTGTATTAGGGGAGGCTCTGCTATTTACCTGGAAATACTAGAACTGTGAAAAAGCTGTGATGATTAGGGCCTGTTGTGTGGAGCATGATACTCGAGTGTGCATGAATCCGGGCTTTGGCGTTAGTGATTCATATTTTCTTTCAACAGATGTTTTTCAAGTGCCTATTTCATGCCAGGTCCTGTTCTAGGCACTGGAGAAGCAACGATGGTTAAAACAGATCCTTCCTACACGAAGCATAAATTGTGGTGAAAGACAGTAATAAATAAATGCATTCTTAAAATGTTAGATGGTAAAAAGTGCTATGATAAAGTGTGACGAGTTGGTTATGGAGTGCTCGGGAGGGTAGGGTACGGAAGAAAGGCTTTACTGATGAGGTGCCATTCATTTGAGCAAGACTTGAAAAGGTGAAATGTGAGGAAGAGTGTTCTAGGCAGAAGGAACAGTAGAGGAAAGGAACACGCTCACCATGCTTGAGGAATAATAAGGCAAGTTTCGCTGGAGTAGAGGAGGAGAGAAGAAGTGATGTCAGAGACACTGAGTCTTGCCATGGTAAGGACCTTAGATTTTACCTCAGCAAGATGGGCAACTACTGAAATGTTTAGAGCAAAAGAGTGACACCATCTTCAAACGGAGCCCTTTGGTAAGGTTCAGAATAGACTTGGAGGGGAGATGATGGTAGAAAAATCAGAGTCTAGTTAGGAGGCTTGTTGAATAATCCAGGCCAGAGAAGAACTAGAGTGTCAGTAATGGGAGATGGGACTGTATATATTTTGATACATATTCAAAATATAATGGATTCTGAATACATATTTGAAGGTAGATTCAGCAAGATGTGCTGGAGGATAGGATGTGAAACTTGAGAAAAAAGGGCATTCAAAGTTGTTTTGAATGAGCATCTTCATGGGACTGTTGACAAGATATACTGAGCACTTATGGACACAGTAGACACTTAAAATAACAGTTTATTTTTTATTATTATAACTTATTTACAGTTATAGTGGAAAGCAACATGGCATAGATCTGGTTTTAAATCTTTGCACTAAGACTTACTGTTTTTTTAATGCAAAAAATACATATTTGCCATAATTCTGATCTCTTAGAACGTTAGTTTCCTCATGTGTAATATGAGGATAATAAACTACCTTGTGAGAATTAAATGATATTTTAAAATACCTAGCAAAGACTCGGTACATAACACAAAGTAAGTGCTGAATAAATAGATGGTAAAATGCATGATGGCAAATTTGTATATGTCCTTGTTCACACCTCTCCTGAGGCTAGAGCATGTACGTGCCGTCCTGGAACCATGCAGTGTAATATTCTGTCACTAATGGGCGTTTAACAGCAGTCAGCTTCAAAACATTGATAATGCAGTTCAAATGCACTTGCTTTACTTAATAACTCACTATGTGTTATCTTGAACTTACATAGACATGTCTGAATTTGTTTATCTTAACCATGGATGACTTCTTGGGTAATAAATTGTATATATTTACTAACCACTCTATAAAACTAATTTTTGGTTTTATTTGGGTCTTTAAACTTGGAGCTATTGTACCTCTTTGTGGTATGGTATATTTATAAACAGATTCATTTTTTATTCTAGTCATCCTTGATAATTTTATAATCTTCA